TTTGGAACAATGCTCAGTGACCTGTCATGGATTAGACATGGGCAGAACTGGGCCCTAGATGATTCTGTCTTCGCCTGCCTCGATCAGAGTGGAAAATGAACAACTAGTGATTTTGCAGAGCTCTACTCCAGACATTCATGCTGAGACTGCATCAGCAAGTTCTTCTGAAAGTCAGATCTCTCCAAAGACAGTTAAGAGTGGTGAACACCTCTCCGGCTTTCACAAACAACATCTTGAGTCTGGCCTTGACATTGACATTTCCTGAAACTTGCTGTTCTGCTAACCTCAGCATGTGATAACTCAAACACCAGCACTCAGTCTCCTCCTTGCTCCACCTTCAGCTAGTTCTGCTCATCTCTGAATCAACAGGGAGCACAGGCCAAGACAAACTGTTTCTCATCCTCTGCAGTGCAGAAAGCTTGTTGTAATTCTTTGACTGTGATATAGGCAGTGGCAGTACAGGATAGTAGTGGGATCAGGGATCAGACTTGGTTCTAGGACTCTGAAGGAGCTGGCAGACTCTGCACATGAGCAGGAGAGCTCTGCCTGAGGCAGAGCAAAAGTGCTAAAAGCTGCAGGTCTACAATTTCATTCAGCCCAGGCTGTCTCATCATGCTCTGCATGGATTCAGCAAACAGACTTTGCACAAAGAAGTTAGCACGTGACAGTCTGGGACCATAAAGCATGGGTATGTGGGGAGTATGTATTCTCTAACAAGCTTCTCCACTGGTTGCCTTTCCTGCTCTCTATTTGGAAGTGGCTTGGGTTCCAACCTGTCTATCAGTGTGTCTGTATATCATCATGCAAAGACAAAATTACCAAAATAACCACAAATATTTACCATTTCCTTGCTGCCAGGTGGGCAAATGCTGTTGTTGAGGGCCTCACAATCCACACAAGAGCCCTGATTAGAAAAGAAGAGGGGGAAATTTAATCTTCTCAAAGTAACCCATTCCCCATGCCAACAATGCTACAGAGCTACTGCCACCAGTATATACCCAAGGCACCACAACATGTGTCTGAAACATACCTAGGAGGGAGTTTCTTGAAAATGGGATAAGCTTGTCACTTAAATAAAATGATTACTGTCCCTCAAGGAGATGCTTGCACCTGTCTGCAAGATGGAGTCTGTCTCCACCCTCTGAGTCTATCTGTCATTAGATATGCTGCTAAGCTGGAAAACACTTTGGGCATCCATGCAGGAGGTTTCACTGAATCAACATGTTCTGTGGGCACTCTGGCCACTTGGGATTGACTGTCTTTCCAAATCAGGGATCTCTTGCCTATTCAGAGCCTCATCTTCTTTCCTCAGTAACCCATCAATGATCAAACTGGGGAGCAAGAATCTCAAATAAGGTATATGAAAACTGTTTAGGTGAGAATATCTCACAGCACTTGTAGCTCCTGCTACTGAACATCTGCTTTCTAACCAGGCTACAGGACACCAGCACTGACAGAGATGGAAACGAAGCATTGTCATCTGAGTTATCAACTCTAGTGTGGAGAAGATCATATAAGGCCTTATGGAAGGCAAATGTACTTTGGAATCAAAGGTAGGATGGGTGCACAGAAAGAACAACAACCTACAAGGAACATGTGCTGATTGCTAGGAAAGCAGAGCCAAGTGCTAGCAGAAAAAAACACTGACAGTGCTGCTAGGGCCAAAGTTCACATCAGGGGAATTCTTAGACATAACACATTTCCCAAATGCAAGTTACACAGCCTGCTTTAGTCCCTCCAGGTGAGTGGGAGCAAGGACCAGTGTGAGTGGGAGAAGCTGACTTACCATCACAATTTTATGTTGCTCTTCATTGCATCTGTGAGGCAAAATGGGAATTATTGAAGGAGGGATGAAGATGCCATCCAAGGTATGAATAATACCATTTGATGCCACAATGTCTCTCATGTTTAAGGGGATCCCTGATTCATCCATCAGAATTCTTCCCTGATGCAGAAACACAATTTTAGCCCATTAGACAGCATTGACTACATAAAGCAAATGCAGAAAACTGGTAGTTCACAACATCAAGGGCAACCACATAAATGGCCAAGCCAGAGCCAGAGCCAGAGGTTGGATAAGAAGCAAACTAATTCAATGACCTCATTTAAGTCAGAGGAGGAAGCAGAGATGGGCTGAAACCACATTGTTCAGAACCATATCCAGGCTTTCTCCTAGCACAGGAGGATTTGCCCCAAAGGGTTTTGATTCACACTTACATCTGCACTGATGTTGATGGTAAGTATCTGGTTAGCCATAGTAACTATGTGTGGCATCATTATCAGTTTCTCTACAGTCACCTGAAATAAAAACACAAGGGTACAGCACCATGAAAAAGCAGGGTCATTTCAGTGCATCTTGCAGAATCCTTCCATGATACCCACCACTTCAAAACATTCTCAAGAGGACTTAATGTTTACATTTCAAGAAATACCTTAAAAACAAAGGGTCAGAGGGAAATCCAGGGCTTTGTGTGAGCTGTTTGCAATACCACAAACACAGCAGGATTGATGGCAGCTGCCTTGGTTTTACTTCTTTGGGTAATGGTCCAGCACAGTTGAAATCAAATCTCACTAACTATGTCTCTTACAACTGCAAGTAGGGTCAGACTAATAAAGGGATTTTCCAGGACATACTCAATAAACAATCAAAGTTCAGCCAGAAGCATAATAGAGAACATATTTTGACTTAATAAGTTTATAGGCAGGAAAAAAATGTAAACTGAAGTTTCTGTACTGAGAAACTTAATGATTTGAGAAGAGGGAAGTTCTGAGAACTAAGACAATTGTTACTTTTGTACCCTGCAACAAACTCTGCTGGGCAATGTTTTCATTGTAAAGCCATCCAACTCAAGAGCACCATCACTCCAGACTTTCATGATGGAGAGCACAGCTGTCCCTTTTGGCAACCACTTTCTTAGTAAACATTTTGCCTCATCAGATCCTGAATCACATCTCTGCTCTTCCAGGGGAAGTCCAAGAAGTGGCAGCTGAAGTGATCAACACTGCAACTTCTATGCCAGACAAGAAAGGAGATAATGTGTTGGCCTGAAGGAGCCCAGCCCTCTGGGGCTGCCCGCCTTACCGCTGCTGAAGTGTAGATATGGTGTTTCACAAGTTCCTGAAGCTTATTTATGCCCTAAGGAAAGAAAGGAACATCAGAATTAGATAATCCTTCAGTGCTCAGGAGTAAGAGGAGCCAACTACATATTCTTTAACAAATGACTGACAATGCCAATGTCTGTAGCAACGAATTCACTTGGCAAATAAGTTCCTTCATTTTCCCCTACCCAAAGCTGGGGTGAGGAAAGAAGTCAAACACCAGATTTAAACAATCTGGCTAACCATATTTCCCACTTCAGGTTCTGTCAGCATCCACTTCTCTCCCAAAGCCTTACAGAAATAGAGACACAGCTTAGCCATCTCCAGGAAGAACAATTTTCAGCAATGACCAGATATGCTACACAACCCATTCCAGCACCGACTAGTGCAACACAGTTAGCTCAGGATGTCTTAAAGTACTATGAGCTCTTACCTCTGTGAAAAGATAAATGAGTCTTCCGTCTCTCAGTTTATCCACACCATCATTGCTGGGCACAAATACAGTAAAGGGGCCTGGTCCATCCAGTATTGCAGGTAGGCCACAGTTCTGCAAAACAATGAGATTTTATCATGGATCTAACATGGGTTAGTGAGAGGGGTCTGCCAGGAAGTGAGAGCAAACCCTGAGCAATGCACTACAGGCAGAGCTATTGAAAAGCAAAATATACAAGAGGCAACTGGACACCAGGGAACAGAGGCATAAATGCCACAAAAACATAGCTTGGACAATGAAGCCACGGGTGGGAATGCAGCAAATGTGAACAAGGGAAGACTGGGCTAATGCTCCCTGCCTGCTTTAAACATACAAGTACACATACAGAGATTAAAACTGTGGTCAAGAACTAAACATACTTTGGAGAACAACCTCTAGAGGGACAAGGGGAAGGGGATATGTGGAAGAAGATGGGAAAAAGGCATGTACCCTTGCTGCTTGTGCCAGATCCCCCAGAGATGTGAAAACTCCAATCTTTTCTATCGCATTTGCTTATGTAAAATGCACAAAATAAACAACACAGAAAAAAGCATCCAGAAAGAAAGCCAAACCCCTGAGATGTATTTAAATTCTATTCAAAATCCTCCTCAAAGCAGCAGCAGGCTTTGTACAGCAGCAATGTTCCCGGGGCAGACACAAACACACTTACCTCCAATATAGTTTCAAACCTGCTGAAGATCTCCATTGAAGCAATGATCTCCCCAATGGTTTTCTGCAAGAAGACACAAAGAGGAAAAACAGGGCTGGGGCTGGAGCAAGGTCTGAGCACGTACTGGAATGCTCTTGGTCAGCTTGTATTTGTGGTTTGCATGTAAAGATCTACAGGAGACCACCATCCTCAGAGAGAGGCACAGTCAAATCCACCATCCTAGGGGCACTTCAGCTGAAGAGCTAACACTCAACATTCCAGCTGCTTTTTAAATGCACAAAATACAATCACAATATCACACTGTCTGACTGTTTTTGTAAATAAATTACAATGGTGTAAAGTAAGTGCAAACTACTATCAGAATCATACCAAATCCAAGACCTTGTGTCATTCTCTGAGTATTTTTTTTGCAAGAGGTAGGGGGTAACAGGTCCTGCTTTCTGCACACAGAAACAATGTCCAAATGCTCAGGCACAGCAATGTAGTAGCCATGGTAAAAGCTTCTCCCAGCAAACAGGGAAAAGTGTTTAGCTGAACTTGAAGCTCCAACACAATGTCTTAAACTCAAGACATGACTTCAAAATACAAAAGTCTAATGATTATTTGTCTTTATTTTAAATATTTTTAACACAAAGACAACTTTCTGATTATAATTTCAAAAGAGTAAACCAATTAAAGAAAATCTTCATTTGATTTTTATGTGAAAAATGCTTTTCAATCTTTTTCCTGTAAGATACATATTCTATATGATACAACTGAACGTGAGCTCATTTGCTATGAAGTGATCTTATTCATGAAAGGACAATCTTTTACTCATCTAAGCACTGTAAAAGCATCAGCTCAAGGTCTTTATCTGCTATTATCTACTTTAAATGGTATTTTAACAGTGCCTAACAAGCCTTATCAGGAGCTGGAAACAAAATAAATAGCCTTTTCCCTTTAAAATAAACCTCACCAATTTGGAAGTTTAATGATGAAAATTCCCTTTTTTTTTTTTCTAGTGTTTATTCTGCTGCCCATAAAACAGAAGAAATATGAGTGCTTGTGTACCTGTGGGTTTCTGAGGTTGTCAGTGCTGGGTTTTTTCCTTAGGGTGTTAACCACATGCATGATGCCATTGGCTGCTGGCAGGTTTGACTGCAGAATGTTGTACAGTTCCCCTGGCAGGTCTTGATATCGAAATGATTTGATGTATGTCTGCATAAATAAAAGGTTATTTTCTTGTGGCTTATCTCTGTTATCATAATAGATCTATTAATCATTGTTCTCTTCAGTGCTCTCTGCCCCTGGGTCAGCAAGGCGAAGGCAGAACCAGAGTGACTCTTGAAAAAGAAAACATAAGGGGTGGCCTGGGTGTAAAACAAACTTCCCACCCCTACTTGAGTTTGGGTAATATTTTGATCCTGAGGGATACTTTTAAGTCTTAGTATGGATAAAAAACCTAATCTGGGACAATCAGCTCTAGAATGAAGTTTGAGTGTGAATGATGCCTGATCCCAGCTCTGGACCATCAAGTAGCTCCTACACCAGTCTGCCAAGTACCAGAAGAGAAGCATGATACCTCCTGGGCAGCAGGGTACAGAATCTGGAGGCAATCCTGGCACTACAGATTTGGTTGCAACTTCTATAGACTCATAATGCCAACAGGAGTCTTACTAACAAAGCCAAAGCAGTCAGGCTCACTGAATTACAAGGCATATATCTGGTCCTTCCACACTGAATTCAGCCATGCACTACAGCTGGGCATAAGGAGGTGTTCCAAGGGTAACCTACAAACTAAGCATGCAAGTATGGTGCTGCAGCCATGATCCAAGTTCAGGGAAGCATAACTTTCCTGTGCTTTTTATTTCACCACAGGCATTTCTTTGCATTGTTCCTCCCTGCAGTAAACTTCAGTACATTTCACTGAGGATTCTGTCTGAAACAAAAGAAGGGGAGGGCAGATTTCCCAGATCAAAAGGCTCCTGAGTAAACAAACAGGAAAGAAATTTAAAAGGGGCATTGACAAGCCCAGTCTGGATTCCCCTGCTCCAAATAGTGCTTTGTCCTTTTGATGCATGCAGGGTGCATGCATTATGACCCAGACCTCAAGGCCAAGGCTGAATCCTCAGAGAGGAAACATGTGGCTCTCTCCCTTGGCCAGCTGTGAGCATACTTGCAGGAAAGGTGCAGGATGGAGAGATCTCAGTGGATACTGGAAAATATGAGTCAACTGGAAAAGGGAAAAAAGAGCCTTCCATATCAGAACATGATGATGACAAATTCTTTGCTAGGAAGACTGAGAAAAGTAAAATAGAAAGAAGAGAGATTTTGTGGCCTTTTCCATGTCAGCCACATGGATATTGTAGTTACTGTAATGGTTGGTG